AACACAAACATAAGTCTTATCTATTAATATAAAAAAAGGATAGAGATTTACTTGAAATTTGAAAATCTATTAATATAAAAAAAGGATAGAGATTTACTTGAAATTTGAAAATTTTCAAAAAATCCCGCCTAAACGTGTTTTGAAAACTATTGAAAAAAATTTTAATTTAAATATTTAAATAAAAAGATCACAGACCATATTCAGATATTTTGAGATAAATTCTTTATCTTAAATTCCACATAATAACATCTTTATTATCCTTTAGAAATATTGAACATTTTTTCCCTTTTTCTCTTCTCTTTCCCGTCATCCCCTATTCTTTTCTGCTCTCTTCAAATGTTCTCCACTTCTAACCTTCATAAGCAAAAATGGCGATCTCCACACTTCAGAAACTCGCTTCCCAAATCATCAAAACGCCATCACTCTCTCTCTCTCTCTCGCTCTCTCCTGGCGTGCTGTAATCGCCCGTTATAATCCTCAACCCTGCCCTCCTCCTCGTAAAACATGTTCGCTGGTCGAATCGTGAAGCTGCTGGCAATCGACCAGGACTGGCAGTACGTGCTGAGGCGGAATTCTCAGACTCAGATGATGAACAAGCACTCGAGGTGTGCTATGTCGTGCTGTCGCAGGAATTGCAGGGTATGGTGGTCGCGGTCCCTGAGTCGAAGCCATGGGACACTCCATGAGATTTTCAATCGTCGTTCTCAAAGTTGTGATTTGCAGTGGTCTGACTTCTGTAAGCCTTTGTTTTTCGTTTTCGCATTTGAATAATTTGGTATGAGATTGAGGATCATTTATCATGATGATGGAACTCGTGGGGGCAAATGTGATTGTTGTTTCCTACACATGTAAAACTTATCAATGAGTTTTGAATATGAGACCTTTTCACATAATATTTGTGTATGGATTGAAAAGAGATGGGCGTTGTAAGAGATGGGCGTTGTTTTGTATATTAAACAAAATTCGACCTTTAGGTTCGCTGAGTTCTTTGATTGAAATGGAAAATGTTATTATTGATTGCCTTCCCTTGCTCGGCTACCCAAATTTATTAGTTTTAGATAGATGTATCGTGCTTTCTCTGATGCTTTGTTGCGAGAAGCTGTAGAGAATAGAATTATAGCAATCAAGCATTTAATGATTTGGTGTTTTGTTTGCAGGAAGTAATCGTTATATAGTTAGCATTTTATACTGAAAATTGTTCCAGTGGTTCGATATTTCTTATAATTGAACTTCTGAGTTTCACATTTCATATATTCAACAAAGTGCGATCTTTGGATTCATTGATTGAAATGGAAACTGTAATCTCTTATTTTCATCCCTTGTCTGGCTAGTTAAAGTTATTAGTGGTTTGTGTTTTGGCTACAGTATGTAATAGTCATATAGTAAGCATTTTTTGCAAGTAACTTGAGATTTTTAGTAAGAATCGTGAAAATTTTGCTTCTAAAAAATTCAATCAATCATTTCATTAATTTTTTTTTCGTCAACGTGTAAATTTGGTTACAAAAATTAGGTCAATCGTCTACAAAACAAAAACTTTCAAATTTTTTTAAAATCTTTCCAAAAAGTCATGACAACTTCATTGTTAAATATTTTTTTATCCATATTTATCTAACTACAAATTTCATATTTTATGGTCACAAATAAAAATTCGTATTTATATAATAAAGAATGTTAATTTCAAAAAATAATTTTCATATTTCGGATTCTTCAACTAATTGATTATTTTTTTGTCCATATTTATCTAACTACAAAACCTTTTTTAAAATTAAAAAAGAATACTCATATTTTGTGGATTCTGGGTAGATATTTTTCTGCACACATCCACTGAACATTTAGTTAGAATAAATATTGGAAAGGGAAATAAATCATAAGAAGATAATAAAGATTAGATATCATACGAATTAATGTTGGAAAAGATAAAATTTCGATAATGGTTAGGATAAATATTGAAAAAGGAAAACAAATCATAGTAAGATAATAAATAATAGATATCGAATGAATCAATATTGGAAAAAAAAAATTGATAAGACAAAATCACACAACATATTTACATATTTGATGAGATTTTAACTTGAATATAAAATATATCTCATACAACAAATTTAGTGATATTTAATTATGAATATAAAATCAATCAATGATTTAAAAATGTTAAGACATGAATTTTGACTACATAAAGCATTTTTATGTTTCATTCTCGAGCTTGGCTCGGCTAAACTTGCCTTAGCCTCTATCTCACTCCATTTGGCCAATACTTCATACTTTCTATTATCTTATTCTATCCGAAGACGAACTATCAACTCATCAAGTTTCATTTCTTTGCGTTTATGCATGAGATAACTCTGGAAGTCTTTCCACAAAGGAGACAACTTTTCAACAATAGTCGCCACTTGAAAGACTTCGTTCACAATCAATCCCTTGGTCAACATATCATGAAGGATGATTTGAATCTTTTGAACATGATTAACCACCAACTTTTTGTCAACCATATCGTACTTAAGGAATTTATCGACAAAATTTTTTTGTGTCTTTGTCTTCCGTTTTGTATGTTGCTTCCAAAGAGTTTCACAATTCCTTAGACGTCTTAACCGGGCAGTACGCATTATATAGTATATTGTCTAGTCTGTTAAGTATTATAATTCTACACAAGAAATCACTGTGATGCCAAGCATCCGGGGCTGTACGTTTTTGGATGTCGGTCTCACTTTCGGAGACGATCAAAGGGTCCTCCAAAAGTAAACGTGAGAGGGAGAGAGTTCTGAAGTAGAAAAGCATTTTTTGCTGCCATCCATTTAAATCAGAGCCATTGAACTTCAGCAGTCTCGCGCTTTGGATGGAAGCGGCTACATTGGAGTAAAGAGATTAGTAGCCGATGAAGCGGTCGGTTTAGCACTTGAAGAAGACGTTTGGTTTTCTTCGTTTGTCAACTTATGAACTCACAAAAAATTCGTCTCGAGATTGTAGTTTGTGTTTGGTTTTTCAATATCAAGATGGCTTAAAAACAAAAAAGAAAACAAAAGCAAAATCAAAGTCGAGACACGTAACAGTTACATAAGACGAAATTGCCCCGTAAAATACCCACAGTTAACGGCAAACGCCTCCAAGATACAACAACTTTAGACTTGTATATAATGGTATTGCAAATATACAAGTCTTCGACGAACAATACAATTTTTTAAACTCTCAAGACTCAATGAAAAAAATCAAATAACACAATAGGCTTTATGAACTACAAGAGCTCTTAATCTTTCAAGTTATGAATGAGTTCATGTTTTGGGTATTTATACATGTAGTAAAACACTTCTAAGAGGTTTAAGTGTTAAAAGACACCTTTTGAGACGTACCCGAACAAGAACGAATGCATTTAGAAGCCAAAAGACACAATATGGTCACCAAGTGTCGCGAGGCTCGTACGAGCTCATCCGAATTCCGAATCGAGTTCCACTTTTTCCTACTCGTCCCAACGAAACCTTCTAGAGTTCTAGCATGCAAACTGCGTGATCAGATCTCGTTTGTCTTATCTTAACATTCGTTGAAGACAAAATATTTTGTGAATCCAATAATATTTAAGTTACTTAAACTCAATTCAATTGCTCTAACCTTACATCCTATATATACAACTTAGAATTAATTTCTCATTCACCTTAAATGGTTTTTAGAATTTTTTTTAATTCTTTCACTTACAAAAAATGGAATTAAAACCAGTACAGAACTAATTTTTCTTACATAATCAAACCACCGGAGTCAAAAGCGGCTTCCCAGCAAAATGAGCCTCCAAGTTTTCGAGCACGAGATCAGCCATGGCCTTGCGAGTCTCCACCGTGCCACTCCCCACGTGCGGCAGCAGGACCACATTATCGAGCCCAAATAGCCGCTCGGGTACATCGGGCTCTTTTTCGAACACGTCGACCCCGGCCCCACCCAAGCGGCCCTCCTCGAGTGCCACCACCAACTGGGGCTCGTCCACGTGGGGCCCACGCCCGATGTTGATAAGGACCCCGTTCGGGCCAAGCGCGTCAATGACCTCACGGTTCACGATGTGAGTCGTCTCTGGGGTTAAAGCGCAGGCCACGACCAGGATGTCGCAGTTGGAGGCTAGCTCGACAACGGTTTTGTAGTATTTGTAGTTTGTGTTTGGTTTCTCGGATCTCGAGTAGTAGCTAATGGGGCAGTCGAACCCTTCGACCCGCTGTGCGATTGCCTGCCCAATCCGGCCCAAACCTATGATGCCCACCCTTTTCCCGCTGAACTGCAAGATGTAATGTATAAGACGAGTCGTGAGTTAGGGAAGCCAGACCATACGTAAGTACAACATCAAATCACTAGTGAATACAAAGCAAAGAAAAAGGTAGATTCAGAAGAACTACCCATGAAATTTAGACCGACTCAAAAAAAAGAATACAGATATTCTCGAAATTAGCAAAACGTCCCTAGCTTTACTCAACCTGAAATATTTTGCATTTAATACAGAATCACACTTAGGAGTAACTTAGGTAATTTCAAACTTATTGTTGTTCTTTGCAGTTATTTCTCCCCAACGAACATCACAATTGTTTCGTACAATATTGCAATGTACAATGATCTTCAAACTTCCATAACAAGTAACGACAAGCCCTTCTCCCTTTATATTCGGTGAAAAGAGATCAAGATAATCTTTCTCATCTCCTCCTTAAATCACTATTCTTCTACTCCCTCAAATCACAGCTCCAAATGGTATCAAGTGTCTTGTCCATCTTCACATTCCACTCGATTGAATGATAACAAGGCTCAACAACTTCCATGAATCCCAAATGTCAGTCATCATGTCAAGTTGCAATACAGAGTGAAACAACGATTGAAACACGAAATCAAAGTCCCTTCCACAATGCAACCTTTAGGCTATACCATAAGCCTCAAACCAGATTCACCCCATGAAAAACACCAACTACTAATTAGATTTTTATTAAACAAAAAAATGAGCTTATTGCAGTAACATGAATACATGTAAAATGAAGCGAGTAGTACCTTAGATGTCAACTTGAAAGCACCATTTTTCCAGGCCCCTCTCCTCACATACCTATCACACTCGCAAATCCTCCTCAACACAGCCAGCATCAGCCCGATCGCAAGGTCCGCCACGTCATCCGTGAGCACATCGGGGGTGTTGGTAACCCTAATCCCCTTCTCCCTGCACTTGGCCAGGTCGATCTTATCCAATCCCACGCTGAAGGTCGAAACAATCTCCAATTTCGGCAGCGCGTCGATCAACTCGGCGGTGACGATGGCGGCGGGGGTCACCACCACGGCGCGGATCGAGTGGGCGTGCTGAGCCACGAAATCCGTCTGCTTAGGCTGAGTCCAGTACCGCAGGAGCCTGAATCGCTTTTCGAGCTCCTGCTCCAGGTAGTTGTTCATCGGGCACATCAACAGGACCCCGACGGCCTCCATCTTGGCGGCGGTGGTTGGGTGGTGGTGGAGAAATTGAAGTGGATTGAGCGAGTGGGAGTCAATCGTGTGGTTTGGGGAAGTTTGTGCGTGAAGGCGATGGACGGCTGAAATCCGGCCCGGCGCAGTGTGGCTAGCATTTTATTATGTATGCATTTTTTGTTGTTTTTTCTTTTTTGTGATTTTTAAGTAAAAGTCAAAAAACAAAAGAAAAAAAAAGAAACATAAGTCTTATATATTTGAACCATAGACAATATAAAAGTCTCTATCTTGAATACGTTTGCTTACAAACTAAAAGTAGTATTTTTAAGAGGTGTGTAGATAACATAGAACTTTAATTGGTGACAATTTCATCTTACCTAATTTTATGAGTTAAAATTAATAGGTAAATTGTTGTTCACGTTTGATTTGAATTCGAACTTGAACAAAATTTGAGTTGACGAAATTTGAGCTGATCTCAAATATTTGTATAGTTTTTTTGAGTCAAACGAGCATTAAATAGTTGAGCTCAAGCTGAACATTGAAAAGAATGGAGCCTATTTCAATAATACAAGACTCAACTCGGCTCTTTTGCAACTTATTTATCACACTAATAACAATTTAAAAGTTTCTAAAGAAAATTAAAAAATTTAAAGTTGAAAATCTATTTTAGAAAAATGGTTGCTTCTCGTGTGTGTGTGAGAGAGAGAGAGAATCATTATATTAGTAATTGACCCGAATTGCCACCGTAATTGGGTCATGATGAACCGAGCAATTAATTTTATAAATTTTAAATTATATTTATATAACGAGAAAGCGTGGAACTTGTTTGGTTAAGATGAAATAATTTTGCAGATCCCACTAACATAAAAATTAAGCATTTATCAAATTTAAAAATATTTGACTTGGCAAACCTATTGATTCNNNATTGATTCATAACCAATCAAAATGATGAGAATTTTAGAATTGGCCTATGTACAATCTCGCAATTTGCATACGAAAAGACTTAATGATTTTTATATTGTATATGGTTAAAATATACTAGTAATCAACCTGTGCATTTGCACAGAAATAATACTTTAAGAATATAATAATATAAAAAAATAAAAATAAATTATAATTTAATTCATGAAAAAAATATGAATTAAGAAAATAATTCTCAAAATTAATTTTGATCAAGTAATTGTTATGGAAGAGCCGTTATAACTATTTTCTTTATGCTAATATATCCGGTCATTTTCATGAGTGTGTGTGACTTAAAATTTGAGTACAATTTTGTAACTCCCTAGTTCCTTGATTGATTTATGTTCATAATTTATGGCATTCAAGCAAGTTATTTTGTAACTTAAAAATGAAATTGAATGCTGAAAATTTTAGAGGGATAATAAAATTTAATGCATGATAATTATATAATATAATTTAAAATTTTGTTGCTCCTCTTTATTTATATAGAGATAAGAATTATGATTAAAAATAAACAAATAAATAAATAAATAAGTGGAAAAAGAAAGTTCCTTATGTTCCAGTCTTTCTTTTTCATCTTCTATCATGCACCCCACGTTCTTCCAACANTAAATTAAAAAAAAAAAGGGAAGAAGAAAAAACTCAACCTTTTCTCGTCAATCGCCATAATCACATTTCCGATCCAAAATCGTGTAGATTTTCTGTTTTGAATCATGAAAGGGGTCGATCGTTCGAGCCCAAAAATACCATGTTGGCGCCTTACGAGGGAAAAAGGAAAAATATGCAGGCCCGGCGTTTGATTAAATGCGAACTTGGGCTAATTGTTCTGAAATTGAGATGACGATTAGGAGTCATACATCGTGACAAGATCATTAATAATCGCCGGAAAACGTTGATTCACGGTCGGGAACGGAAGTATGGCTAGCCCACGTGCACGAGATAAGGTACCAAAAGGTAAACCTATTTTTTCTATATGCAATGTTTTTTGTTTTTTCGATGAAATGCTTTTGTACAATTTTTTCGTGTATCTTAAACTGGTCTAAGGATAAAAGGTCGTTCTATTATCATTGTTTATGATTACAAAAGACTTAACATATTGTGGGAACATGAACAGATTAGATATTCGTTGTTTTGAGATATACTTGGTGGAAATCTCAAGCTTTGTCTAATTACAAATGTGCTAAATATGTTCATGGCGTGGTTCTGCCTTCATATTCTTTTTTTGCTGTCTATTCATATGTGTGGCACTCTGTGATTTAAATTTACGAACAGGGTTTTTCTAAAATATTGATAAGCATTTTAATAGAACAAGGTGAACTAGAGCCATCACATATTGTGAAGTTTAGATTTGTAGTATGTTTAGAGAGTATTAATTTTTTTTCATATTTCATGCGTTCTCATAGATCCATTTTGTGTTGATATGATCAGATTTGGAGTTGATGAAGGAAAAATTTGCAAAGTTGCTTCTGGGTGAGGATATGTCTGGTGGGGGAAAAGGTGTTTCTTCAGCTTTGGCTTTGTCAAATGCAATTACAAACTTAGCAGGTGCCTGTACTTTTTTGTAATGGGTAGGAAATTATGATACTCTTCATCACTAGAGTTACAAAATTTACTAAATTATGATATTCCTTGTTGATACTTTGCAAGAGATCTTAGTTAAAATCATGCAAAAACCTGGCTGGCTTATTTTACAATGTTGTTTTTGTAATTGGTATGCAGCTTCTGCATTTGGTGAGCAGAAAAAGCTAGAGCCAATGGCAGCAGATACCAAAGCAAGATGGAAAAAAGAGATAGATTGGCTCTTATCTGTCACCGATTACATTGTTGAATTTACACCTTCGAAACAAACGAAAGATGGAGTCAGCATGGAGGTCTCTCTCTCTCTCTCTCTCTCTCTCTCTTTTCTTAGTATGCGCGTCGTGTTCTGTTCTGTGTGCCTTGTATCTATCTTATTAATTGGAGTCTATATTCTTTTCTTTCCACAGATCATGGGAACAAGGCAGAGAAATGATCTTCACATGAACATTCCCGCCTTACGCAAGCTCGACTATATGCTCCTTGTTAGACCAGATTTTCCCTTTACTTTCATTATATTTTTTCTATTAGTATATATTCTTTTCCCTGCTCATTTTTCTTTTATTTTCTCTTATGCAAATTGGGGACAGGAATGTCTAGACAACTTTAAAGACCAAAACGAGTTCTACTACGCGTCAAAGGATGACGAGGACTCTAAGGATGGAAAGAACCAAAGAAAAGACGACAAGTGGTGGATTCCAGTCCCAAAAGTCCCGCCAAATGGCCTTTCAGAGGCTACGAGAAAATGGTTGCAGTATCAAAAGGATTCGGTCACCCAAATACTAAAAGCGGCCATGGCTATAAATGCTCAGGTCCTTACAGAAATGGAAATTCCAGAAAATTACATCGAGGCACTACCCAAGGTATGAAGTAACCAGAAAACTTTTTTTTTTTGGACAAATGTAGTCATAAAATGCATATGATTGGAAAATAGCATTTGGTTAAATTGCTTTATCTTTTACATCCTAATATATTTTGGTGCCCGGAGAAAGAAAACTGGTTGAAGTTAGATTAAAGTGCATTTGGGATATTTTTAATCCATTTTTTTTTTTTTTCCATTCAGTTTCTCTTCATGGGGCAACTAAATGTGCATCAAAACTGAATTTTCTAACATCTCACGTGAGAATCCCGGGCATCAGTGAAATTGCCAGATCAAAATTGTGTTTTCGAGTTCAAACAAGACTGTTCTTCCTTCTTTGACAGTCCATACATGACTATTTTTGTATATTTTCCATAAGTTTGGAGTGTCGGTCACATAATTTTTACATGCTTTCTTTTTATATACACAATATTGATCGATAGAACGGGAGATCAAGTCTGGGGGACTCTATATACAAGAGCATCACGGATGATTTCTTTGATCCAGACTACGTGCTATCCACCCTAGACCTGTCCACGGAGCATAAAATCCTCGACCTCAAGAATAGAATAGAAGCATCAGTAGTGATCTGGAAGCGAAAAATGAACGTTAAGGATAGCAAGTCAACTTGGAGCTCGGGCATCAAATCCGATAAAAGAGAACTTTTCGAAGATAGGGCCGAGACTTTTTTGCTTATCCTCAAGCATCGTTTTCCTGGGCTTCCCCAATCTGAACTGGACATCACCAAAATACAGTATAACAAGGTAAGATTTCATTTTTATTTTTATTTTTTCTATTTTTATTTATTTTTTATTGTTATCTATCTTATATTTGCTTCACAGGATGTGGGCCACGCCATTCTCGAAAGCTACTCCAGGATTATTGAGAGCTTGGCGTTCACAGTCCTCTCGAGAATAGATGATGTCATGCAAGCCGACAAGCTGGCGGCCTCCGAGCAGAAGAAAACGACCCCAAAAGACGAGCCCGATAGGCTGAGCTGTGCCGAGACCCCGACTTCAAAGACTTTGCTCGATTTCATGGGCTGGAATTTGGACCGTGAAGATACTGACATCAAGAAGGACTCCCAAGACAAGCCCATTGAGGCCCAGCCTCTCGACAAGCCCGATAACATTATCACGAACAAGAAGGTATCTTACATTGAGAGATTACAAAATCTTGGCATGCCCAGAAGCCCAACCGAACGGCATTGACATTTAATTATGGAAACTAGTCGAGTTATATACAGTTTCTCTCTTTTTTTTTTCTATGGATAGGATTGTTAGGTTTGATGGGGTAATTTTCGGAATGTACGCTTAGATAGATAGTCCGATGAGTCGTGTGGATGAGTGGTTTTGGAATATTTGATTTGTAGATCATTTTGACAGTTGAAATTTGAAACCAACTTTGAATGAGAGTTATAAAAGATGTGACTTGCAGTGTTTGCAAGCAAGCTCATCATATTTTACATACAATGCTGTTTGAAACTCATATAATGAATTTGGATTCGAAAAGATTAGATTTTTCCACGCGGGCCGGGCTTGGGTGGGAGTTGCGGGCCCTTGACGATGGGGAGAACATCTCCGGTGGCCTGAGAGCTGACATAAGCGAGGGTGGCCCCGCCTCCCAATATCAAGAATTTCAACAATAGACCTCTTTTTGTGAAAGGAGCAGCAAATGTTTCAAAGAATTTGCTCTGCACATTTAGAAAGAATTAACGGTGAATAATCTAGTGTAAATGAAGTTCTTAGCGTGAATAATGAGAGTGTGAAGATACCTGAAGAGAGTTGTATGGTGAAGGTGCATCTGAACCGTACAAATCCCATTGGCCGGTGGTGTTGCCGATATCCTCTAAATCGAAGTACACGCTCTTGTCACCATATTTTGCGACCACTGCACCAGCTCTACGGAATTTTAACCGATTAA